ATCGAGGAGAGCGAAGATGAGCGTGGATGTTTGAGGTAAGAGGTGGCGGCGAAGGTATCCAGCAGCAGTATGCAGAGGATGCCAGATTCTATTGGATGAGTTCGAAACACCCCCGTCAAATGCTGAGATAGCATGCGCCTCTGCCTGTAGTCGACGCGTGCTACTTCAGTCAGAATGATTATCAGAGCCTCCGCTTCCCTTCCATTCGTCTTGCATTCCCCGCTCCACCACGACCCCTGTCCACTCATGTATCTCCACCCGCCGCCTTGTCCTCCCCACCTTCCAGCGCCACTACATGCTGCATGGCAGAACTCGCGCTGAGTATTCGCCACAGTGCCGTGACCACGTATTGGTGGACAGCCGCAAGGCTCATACAGCTGTGGGCCTTCGGACGATTGCAGGATTCGCAGAGCCAGAGATCGGCGATCTGCAAAACTTGCCCGGCGTTTCTGGAAAATTCCAGACGATCCCCAGGTGTCTTTTCCACGGCGACAAGCTCTGCGCAGCCTCTGGGTGGAGATAACAATCGTCTCTCTTCAGCTCGGCTGTGCTACTGCCAATCATCTGCTTCCGCCTGCTCACAGGACAACAGAGCGAGAGAGAGAGAGAGAGACAACGAGAGGGAGAGGCGCTCAGCAACAGACGGTGAGAGTGGAACGAGCGAGAGAAGAGCAGACAGAGAGAGAGAGAGAGAGAACACAGAGGCGGGAGATACCACCGAAGCCTCTGAACGGCTGCGCACCGCGATGCCCGACCCCGCCTCCTCGCTCCTCCCTCCGGCGAGTGCGATCCGGCCTGCAGCAGGTGGCGCTGGCGCGCGGGGCCCCACGCGCCGGGGCCCCGTCGCCGTCCGACCCAGCCGACGCCTGCGAGTCCGTGCTGAAGTCCCGTGCCTTCCTGCGCATCCGCCGTGGAGACCCGCTGTTGCCGTGCACGCTCTTCGGGGGCGGGGGGGGACAGACCTCCTACCCTGGCACGTCGGTGAGCGAATGGGCCGTTTTCGGTTCGCGAGAGGGCGTCGCGGCCGTCATTTTTGCGGGTCCAGGTCCGTCGGTTTCGGTCCCAGGCCGTTTTCACTAGAGGGTGGTTTGCTGAGGGGAGATTTGTCCACCGAGTCTGACCCAGACGACGTCTGCGAGTCCGTGCTGAAGTCCCGTGCCTTCTATCAGGAGGGGACAAAAACACACAGACACAATTCATCGTCGATTCCCCCGAAAATATGGGAAAATATGGGAAGTGGGAGGGGGGAGACAAAAACCCAGAAAATATGGGAATATATGGGGATCTTGCTATGTGTGTGTATTTGTTTGTGTGTCCCAGAACCCTTCATTCTACGCGCCCACCATGGAGACCCGCTGTTGCCGTACACGCTCTCTGGGCATTCGGCACCGGACCCCATTCTTGGCAGGCTGGCAATAACGAAGATCATCTGAGGCTGATACAGTCAAGTTGGGCATGTCCCTCTATGGGAGGAATCTATTCAAGAACAGTGAAGAATGCTTTGGGGACGATTTCTCGACTAATTTGGGCCATTTCTGAATCTTTTTTGGTCATGTTTTATTTTTCCCCGAGAATCCGCCTGTGGGGGGACGCGCTCGAGCTAATGATAAGTCAAGATTCAGGAGGGAAAGAAACACACAGACACAATCAATCGTCGACTCCCAGGAAAATATGGGAAAATATGGGAATTGGGGGGGGGAAGCCGAAAACCCAGAGAATATGCGAAAATATGGGGGAATATCTTTATGTGTGTGTGTGTGTGTATTTGTTTGTGTGTCCCAGAACCCCTTCATTCTACGCATCCACCATGGAGACCCGCTGGTGCCGTACACGCTCTCTGGGCGTTCGGCACCGGACCCCATTTTTGGCAGGCCGGCAATGACGAAGGTCATCTGTGGGTGGTACAGTCAAGTTGGGCATGTCCCTCTATAGGAGGAATGTATTCAAAAATTGTGAAGAATGCCTTGGGGACGATGTCTCTTGCTTTGGGGACGATGTCTCTACTGATTTTGACAATTTCTGAATCTTTTTTGGTCATGGTCTGTTTTTTCCCGAGAATCCGCCTGAAGGGGGACGCGCTCGAGCTAATGATACAGTCAAGCTGCTGACACGAGGGCTGCCTTGGGCTCAGGGGAGGCTCTGGCTTCCGGGCCCTTCCCGAGAGCTGGGCCGGGGGGAGCCTCTACGTGGCCGAGGCCCGCCATCGTCGGAGGAGCCCCTCCGCTCCTTGTTTTTGGACGCTCCTCCCCCTCCTCCCCCTCCTCCCACTCCTCCCCTCCTCCTCCCCCTCCTCCTCCCCCTCCTCCTCCTCCTCCTCCTCCTCCCTCCCCCTCCTCCCCCTCCTCCTGGGGCCCGAGACTGGGCGGCAACGCTGCCCCTCCTGGGCTCCTCCGTGGGGGGTCTTCCCGCGCAGACTTCTCGGATCTGTAAGAAGGCCACCTGAGCGCCGTTGGCATCAATCACAATCTGGACGCCCGGAACGGGTACGGAAAGAATGGGCACAGTGCCCAACAGCAGTTCCTGTTCATTCTGAACAGGACTCGCTGTCGGTGTCGCCGCGGCCTGTGTCCATCTGAGACAGAGGGCCGCCTGCCCAACAGCGGCCGCTGTTGGTTTTGGACAAGACCTGTTGTTGGGCACTGTGCCCATTCTTTCCGTGCCCATATCGGGCGTCAAAATTGTTGTGCGTTCCTCGTGGCAGCACGATGGGTGTGTAGCTGTTCAACGAGACACGAGTGCATGGCAGGCTCGCGTCGTGTCGGCCGGCGGCGACCCCAGCGCGGGCGTTTGAGGTTGAATGCTGCCTGTGGCCCAGAATCGGCCCATCCTTGAACGATCCAGCCTTTTTGAGAGGGCCGATCGTTCAAGTGCGAACGATCCCCGCGGTGTCAGGAACCAACGCTGGGGTCGACACGACGCAAACCTGCCGTACAGGGACGTTGGGAGTTCCCAGGAGCTTCCTATGGGCATGCCACCCGTGCTCCGTGGCGATCCTTCCCTCTGTGCGCCGTGCTCTCAGAGAGCGGGCGACCCTCTTGTGGTCATCCCCGTACGGCACCCTCTCCGAGTTTCATTCCGCAAGCCGGCCGATTTCGGGGACGATCGCGGAGACGCTGCACGGTGCCTCTTGGTAATTGAGTTTGTCCTGGACTGCCGCGGAGCGTGGATTTGCTCCAACCCACATTGGAAGGACGGCAGTCTCACGGACTGTACTGCCACAACAAATGCCGCTGCGGTGCTGGCGCATCCAAGGTCGGATACAGATCGAATGCGTTCGCTGCGAGGGCCACGATGTGGCCTGGAAGTTGGCGAACACACTAGCAGCTTCGTGGAGGTGGCATGTTCTTTTTTCATTTAGTTTCTGATTATGATTCTTCTTCTTCTTCTTCTTACCCTAGCACCCCCCCAATTCCCCTCACCGCCCAACAAACCGCCCCAACCCGACCCGAAGACTCCGATTTGCCCTCCATTTCCAGTGGGGTGGGGGGGTCGGGGAACATGGACAAAAACACACTTCCGAAATTTGGGTCTTCGGGTTGGGTTGGGGTGGTCTGGTAGGTAGTCAGTCATTCCCTGGCCCTGAAAAGCGAGAAGTGATGATGATGGAGGGGTAAGCCAGATACCATGATCAGGGTGAGGGGGCCGATGGGTCCTACACCGTCCCTCGATGCGTGGCTGAAGTGAGATTCCGCGGGGCGGATTCTACTTGTCGGTGCTGCTATTATTTGTGGTCCTCGCCTGCGAACCGCCCGCGAAAGGCTCGCGACCCACCCGCTTGCCTGCGACCCACCCACGACCTACCCGCGACCCTCCCGCGACCCACTCACATGCGCCTTGCGGCGGGCTTCTTCAAATTTGCTTTCGAGCCTCGAAGATTGTCGACGACCCCCCCGCCCGCCACTCTTATCCGCAATTTCGGGGGCTACGGTTACTTCCCTGGTCTCTGGCGGAAAGCCTTGTGGTTCATCCGCCAGCTCGTTTTCTGCATCCGCAGTTGCCGTTGCTGTGGTGTCTGCTATATACTGTTGCTTTTGTTGCTGAATTTGCTGCTGTCTGAGCCATCGGTTCCGGGATTCCGCCCGAAGGGCTCTGGTCCGCAGGGTCCCGTCCACGGAGTGGGTGCTGTGTATGGTTGGCAGCTGCTGCAAAACCCGGTCCACAGGTGGTCGCGAAGATTGGTTTGTGGATGCCAGTGCGGTCTCGGCCGCAGGGACCCACAGGCTGACTGTTGCTTACCTGGTCTCGCCAAGACGGTCCCAATCACAGGATCCTGCCGGTAGGATGGTCGCGAGAGTTGGTTGGTGGTTGCTGGCGGTGTTCCACCCACGAGGTCCCCGTGCCCTGCCTTCGACCGCTTCGCTGTCCAGTTTTGCAGAGCACTGCGGCACAGAGCAGCTCAGCGAAAATCCGCGATGCGAAAGTCAGCTGAGCAGACCATCGATGCAGGCACCGACTGGACATGCAGAGACAGTCCAAGCATGTCAAGGAGAGGCGTGAGAGCCACACAGTGAGGAGACAGAGCAGCACGAAGAGGCTGTTCGCCCCGTGGGGGATGGGTCTCTCGGCCTCCGCCGCCCCGGGGGCTCAGTCGCGAGCCTGGACGCCAGGTGTGCCCAGGGAGGGGGACGCCGGACGAGGACAGCTCGGCTCACTCTGCTCCCATCGCGGTGCAGCTCGGTGCAGCCCCCGCCGCAGAGTGCGGGCCGCGTCGGCGCCGTGCGCCGAGCGCCCGGGCGAGCCGCCGACGCGCTCGAGCCAGCGCCTCCGAGCCGCCCAGCGCCCGCTCGCGCCGCCGCCGAGAGCCCGAGCCGGCGGCTCGAGCCCCTCCCCTCGCCAGGAGCGCTGGGAGGGCGAGCGCGGGAGGGCGAAAGCGGGGGGCGAAGGCGGGAGGCGGCGCCTCCCTGTTTCGCGCTTTCGTGTCGTGAGTCTGCCCCCCACCTTGTCGTCGAGCTGCTTGTCGTGAAGCCAGCGCACCCACGAGTCCCCCCCCTCGCCAGGAGCGCTGGGAGGGCGTGGTGGCGCAGAACGACAAGCGCTGCGCGGCCTACTGGCGGAAGATCTCGGGCGACGGCAAGGCCCGCAAGGCCCATGCCCGGCGCCCCCCCTCTCCTCCTCCTCCTCCTCCTCCTCCTCCTCCTCCTCCTCCTCCTCCTCCTCCTCCTCCTCCTCCTCCTCTTCCCTCCTCCTCCTCCTCCTCCTCCTCCTCCTCCTCCTCCGCCCTCCTCCTCCTCCTCCTCCTCCTCCTCCCTCCTCCTTCTCATCCTTCTCCTCCTTCTCATCCTTCTCTTCCTCCGCCTCCTCCTCCTCGCCGCGGGACCTGAACATAATCAAACCGTTAACACTAGCTTTCGTAGTGGGGTACAGCATGGAGGGAAAAAAGTGCGGTACCACGATATTGTTCATGAACAGAATTGTCAAGACGGGTCTCATAATAATATACACACCACCGTCCAATCTACAAGGGAGAGTATCAAGAGTCAGACTGTGCTTGGAAGGAGGAGACCTGGCCCTGTTTGTATTTTACTTGGCGCCCGCATGCTACACAAGGTACGGGGACATCGCGAACAGAGTTGTGTATTGGATGAAAGAGCAATGTAGCAAATAGGGAATGATAGCGTCACCGGCAGTAGGTGGAGACCTCAATGCGCAGTTCTGACTTCATAGGAGCTCAGAAGGCACGCTCGTAGCAAGTACTCGCGACGCAGCTACGGCGGGACCTCACGGGGGAAAAGTGGGAACTCACAATGGGAGGGTATTTGGAAAATTTGGTGTTCAGGGTGGACAACCATTGCGACGACACACTGAGACTGCGGACCGACCTGCCGCAGCCCAGCTGGATACCCAAGCAAGATAAACCACGTCGCCATTCCAACCTGGGCCCTGGGAGTCGTGGAAAGATTCACGACGTTGAGGCGCCAGGGGACACGGCTGCAGCTTATAAAAGGCAGAGATCTCGAAGACCACCTCCCAGGAGGAATAGCCCCCCCCCCCCGCTATGGCATCCACCAGGTTCCGACCTCCCTCAGCCCGCCCCGAAAGCTCCGACAGAGAGGCGCTTATGAGGTGCCCCAGGGAGGGGGACAGGAAAGGCGAGCTGTTCTATTTCTGTGGGGCGAGGCGATAAACGAAGCCGCGCCCGACGCCGCCTGGGATCTGTGGGGAGAAGTGGGAAGGAAGGCCATGGGGAGGACGTTCCCGAAGAGGAACCAGGAGGATCCAGCAGTGGAGGAGTTTAGGAGGAAGAGAAGAGAGCCGCTAAAACAGAGGAGGGGGACCAAATAAGGGCTGGAGGAGGACGCGGCGGAGGAGGTGCACAAGGAGGTCCAGGAGGACCTGGTATCGGCGTCGGCAGTGTTGACGGCGGCGAGGTAAGAGAGGCAGCGGAGAAGGAACGGGGGGAAAATATAGCGGAAGAAAGTCGGTGGGCCCACGATCAGAGCAATCGCGGCGAGGTGCGTAGACTTAGGACCCAGTGCCAGATCGACGGCGGGGGCCAACGAACGGTGCTGCTACTCTCCACTGGCCCACCGGAATCGGGAACTGTGGACGTAGGAATTTGGTTGGCACCCTCGCCGGGGGGGACTGGCAGCGGACCCACTTGCATCCAGACTACGAGAGGACCATCGAGATACGCACGAGTCCAGGCTACCACCGGCGGGGGATGCGAATGCGAGGGCGCTGGCTGCCCAAGACGAGAGGAGTATGTCGCAGTGCTGCGGGCGAGCAAACGAGGGAAGAGCGCGGAGTTGACTCGGGCGGCCCTCGACCCCGCGGCGCACGTGGAATACCCGAGCGCGCCTGGCAATCGTGCGGGGGGGGGCGGGGGTGGGGCGGCAGAAGCGCGAGAGGAGAAGTTTGATAGGCGCATTTCTCTTTACAGTTATAGGAAATATAGGCGCGCGCTGGGAACCGCGGGCTGGGCGACGGGGCAGAGGCTTGGAGTGGCGTGGCGGGGCGGGGCGCGGCGGGGCTGGGGCGGGGGGGGCGGTGCGGGGGGAAGTTGGCGGAAGCATGCCGCGCCGCGCGCGCGGGGCAGCGAGGGCGGGGCTGGGCGCCCCGCTGATCCCCGCGCTCAACCAACGCCCCTCTCTCCCGCTCACTCGTCGAGGGGCGCGCTCTTGAACTGCCGAGCTACTGAGACTGCGCAGCTGGGTTGGCGCCGATCGCGCGCAGTCGAAGAGGATGAGCGCAGCGACGAAGATAGCGTCGCAGGCAAACGCATCATGCGCGCGCCGTGGCGCAGGCACAAGGCGCGCGCGAGGGGGGGGCCCGACCTGGGCGCCCTTCGCGGGCGCAAGGCGGGCTTGCGCACGCGTGCAGAGAGAGCGCCCTGTTGCGCAGTGCCAGCGCGCGGTGGGGGGTGCGGCGTGGGGGGTCAGCGTGGCGCGCGGCAATTGCGACTGCGCGAGTGCGTTTGCAAGCACGAATGGCCCCTTTTGGCGGCGTCAACTTGGCGGTGCGCGAGAGTGGAGGACAGCGCGCGCGCTGCCGGGGCCATCCATTCACCTGCATTCAGCATGCGTTGCGCCGACGGTTGGGTCCTCGGAATGACGACCCAGGGCGCGCGGGCGGGGTCGCACTCTGTCCTGGGCAGTTCACCGACGCGCACAACGTACATGTAGACTGATGGGGGGGGGAGGTTAGGGCGGCCGACGAAACGCAAGCACTGCGCGGCGCTATGCACCCTATCACAGGTGAGCTTCTCGACCCCGCACGCAACGCTTTCGTGGGCGACGCGACGGAAGCGACGGCGAATCTTTAAGGGTCGCAATGCGGGAGAAGTACTGGGCATTCCCAACGGGGGCTCGGAGCTACCCGCCAGGGCCACGGGGGGGGGGCGGGCGCTGAACCTTGGGGGGACCAGCCGCCCACTTTGCTTGGTTGGACGGGGGATCTGCGGCAACCAGGGGGCCACGTACAGCCAAAGGGCTACCGGGTGCTGCCTGGCGGGAGATGTGAATTCTAGGGCCCTTCCGACCTTCGGGCCAGGGGCGGGCGGGTGAAATCGGTGGTGGTGGTGGTGGTGGTGGTGGTTGTGGTGGTGGTGGTGGTGGTGGTGGTGGTGGTGGCATGGAGATAGCTTTCAGGCAATGCAGCTGCTTCTGCGGCTGTGATGCGTTGGGCGAAGTTAGACGGCCCGTCTTCGTTGCGTTTGTAGCGGGCGCCGCTCTCACTGGCCACGCGGCAGTGCGATGTGGGGGCTGCGTAGGAAAGCGAGTCGCGGAGACATGTGCTGGGGGAGAGAAGACGGCAGCGTCAGATGCAACGCCGCGATGCAAGTATTCTCACGCTGGAGAATCGACAGTCCTTTCGCACTGAGAGTCCTCCGCCTGAATGAAATGGCACCAACAATTGGCCCGCTTTCCGGCGGGGCCGGTGGCGCCCTGGCCGCGGTTCTGGGGGCATCGAGATTGGATGGATTACACCAAAGAGAAACCCCAATCAGTGGATGGTTTTCGCCGCTGGGATCGACCAGAAACCCGGGGGCCCGGGGGCCCGGGGCCCACCGTAATCGGGCAGGAACTGGCAACCTGGAACCCAGGAACCCGCAAGCGGGAACCCGGGAACCCAGCCTGTTACCCAAATGGCCAAATCTTTCAACTTCCGCTAGGGCCCCTTCAGTGCGAGCACCGATTGTGGAAGAAAGGTGGGCGGCGAGACTCTGGGAAGGGAAATGGATTTACGCCGGGCCCGCCCCTTGGGCCATGCAGGCGATGGGGGGCGTCGGAGCGTTTGCGAGATTATGCTCAAAGACGGGAGTTCGGCATTTCCACCGAAGATCTGACTTGGACACGCGTGCCCGAGGGGCCGACGACTGGGAACTTAAGGCGCAATTTGAAGTCGACACATTGGCGCGTGCACGACGCAGCGAGAAGTATGGCCCGCGTGCCCCAGGGAAGCCGCGGAAGTGGTTGAAGAAGCGGAAGTAACGCAGCGACCTTTTCCGGCGCGGTTGGGCGCGCGTGGGTGCGGGGGGGGGGGCGGGGACATCGCGGGGCCCCGCGTTGCATCTTTGGTAGTTACTAACCAATGCCCATGGTGTCTAAGCATTTTCGCCGCGGGGGCAATAGCTGTGGATCGCGCCGCTAGAGCGCCGGGCTGTCGCGGCATTTGCAGCGAGGGGCTCAGTTGCTGGGCGCGCGAAATACGGGCGCTCACGACGGAGGAATTACGTCGTCGAATCTGGGGCCGCAGGGCTCAACTTTTGCGAGACTTCCGGCTGCGCGCTCGCGCTCGCCATCCATGCCCCGAGCATTTCAGATGGCCCGGGGCGGAAGCGCAGCTCGGCGCAGGAGCCTCCGCCCCGGCTGGTCGCGACGAGACGCGTAGACGGACCGGGCGTGGGCGCGCAGGGGGTGCGCAGCTAGGCGGGGGGAAATCGGGCCCCAACGTAGTCGACGCGGCGGTGGAGGCAGGGGCGGGGGCCAGCGGATCACAGGCGGCGGCGTCGGCAGCAGGCGCTCCAGCAGGAGGGGGCCGCCGCCGCGTTGAGGGGGAGGAACTCGGGGTCAGCGGCGGCCGATCGATCGCGCCGCGGCCGCGAGCAGCTTGCAGGGGTTCGCGCTGAGGGCGGCGCAGGACACGCGGGGAACGAAGCGGATCGCGACGGACTTCGGCGGCGCAGGCGGCGCCATCAAGCGCCGGGGCGCATGGGGAAGCAGTCGGAACGCAAGGGGGGGGCGCGACTCAGGGCCCCCCCCCGCATCCGCGTGGCCATCGCGCTCTTGACGGTGCTGGCCGAGGCCGCGCAGGCGACCGTGGAGAGAGAGAGAGAGAGAGAGAGAGAGATAGAAACAACAAACAAAAAAATAGGAGAGAGAGAGAGAGAGAGAGAGAGAGAGAGAGGGGAAATAAAGAGAGAGAGAGAGAGAGAGAGAGAGAGAGAGAGAGAGAGAGAGAGAGAGAGAGAGATAGAGAGAGAGAGTGGCCCGAGCGGGACATGGAGTGGGCGACGAACTGCATCTGGGAGTGTCTCGAGGCAGTCAGACCAGCCTTCGGTCAAGCGGCGGGCCTCGACGCGATCGCGATGTTCAGAGTCCAGGTGGCGTGCTTGCCGAAGAAGGAGGAGGAGGGCCTGGTGGCGGGGAAGCGCAAGACAGGGGGCAAGGCCAAAGTGGCGTTCGTTATCGACCATCGCCCACGGCTCCGCTTGGTCGTGAGCAAGACGGAGGTGGGCGAGGATACGCTCGCTGCGCTCGACGTGTTCAGGCCGGATCACCCCAGGATGGCGGCGGGCCATCTGCCGATGCGCTTCGAGGGGGATGAGCCGAAGCACGCGGGCCCGAAGACGGAATTGGAACGCTCTGTCGGAAAGCAGCTCCAGCAGTCCCAGACGATGAGGGGGCTGCCAGCTCGAGGAAGAGGTCGCAGATCGAGGAGGCGCTAGGCAGCGAACTATGGAAAATAACAGTGACAGTGCCAGCGAGAGTCCTGGGGCAGTCGACGTCGTCGACTTCCTCGGCCCTACCAGGACTGCATTCATCGGGGCCCGAATCGGACCGGGACCTCAGAGAAATGGCGAGAGAGGGGAAATCGCCGACATAATGGACCAGGCCCCAGAACAGCTCTGCAAACTGCGTGTCCTCAGTGGAAGTAGCAGCAGAAGTACACAACTGCATGAATTAGCTATGGTTTTCAGAAGGACGTCGTAAGCATATGATGTGCGGAACTGTGCGTTCTAGCCGGACCGACCCATAGACAAGACAGCTGCTGTTTATTGGCACAGCATCACCTACCCTTACCATGTGCGCCACCTATTTACAGATGCGATGGAGAGAGTGGAAAGGAGGGGGATTAAAGGGACTACGAACGACGCCAACAATGCTTTTTTTTATTTTTTTTTGGGGGGGGAATCAGGGTCTCTTCAGCTCTTCATCCTCCCAGCAGCCGACGCGGGGGCGACGGCGTCGCGGGGTCTTCGCCGAGACGGGGGGTCGAGATCGAGAACGCCCCCAAGGAACAAGGGCAGGGGCAAGGGCAAAAGGAAGAGGAGAAGAAGATCATCGACGGGTTCGGGCCCAGGATCAACTCCGCCGCCGCTGCCGCCGACGAGATTCTCGGGGCCTGGGTCGTCCTCGAGGGCAGCGAGGGCAGGGGGGGGGCAGCGCGGCGCAGTCGAGCGCGCTAGGCTCCAGACCTGACAGGGAGTCGCTGAGGGAGCACCTGCTCTCGGACGGGCCGCCGCCGACGTTGGGCGCGGGGGGGGGGGGGGGGGGCGTGGTGCGCGGCGAGCGGATTGCCGGCGACAAAAGGATCACGATGGATGTTTTGGCGGAGCTTTCCAGGCTGCTCGCGCAAGTAGTGCAGATGCAGTGGGAGAAGCTCAGGGCGCGCTCGCGCTGACGAGTGCCCGAAGCTTGACCTGAAGCGTGGGGGGCTACGCCAGCGACGAGGCGGCGACGACCAGGGGGTTCGCTTCTCGATGATGGAGTCTATCCGAGCCCAGGTCGAATATGCGGAGGAGACGGCGAGGTTGCCGCCGCCGGCGACGGGCGCGGCGACCCCGCCCAACGAGCTGGCGAGAGGCCCGTGGCGCGCGAGCCCGTGGCAGGAGTCGCGCTGGGACGAGACGAGAACGGGCTGGCGGCGAGAAGAGAGAGGTGTGCCAAAAAAGGTGCCATCACCTACAAGAGAGCCCCAGAGAGCCCCATGCCCCTCCAGCCCTTGAAATGCCCCTGGGAAGCCCGCTTGCCCCACTGGACAAAGACAAAGAAGCAGCACTACCCGAAGAAGCTACCGCGACGACGGAGATGGTTCAGAGGAAACGGGGTGGGTTATTGTGGGGTGCCGACTAGGGCTTCCCGACAGGGGGGCCGCGCAACGTTGCGGGGCTCAAGTGCAAGGGCGGGGCCCGCGCCGCGACGGGGCAAGCGCAGGAAAGAGTTCGTCGGCCAGGTCATGTGCAACAGCGACAAGATCGGAGAGGCAAAGTACGTGCTGAGGCGCGCTGAGGCGAACGTCGAGCGGGCGGGCGCAGCGCTGGCATCGACGTTGATCGACGTAGACGCGGTCCTCGTTAAGCTGGTGGGCCACGAGCACAATATAATGCTCAGCCTCAGTAGGAACAGGGGGCGGTAGGTCAAGACGGCCCAAGAAGAGCCAGCCATGGATGGGGGGCCGGCTGCGTCTCTCGGACCAGATGGGCAGCCTGGCCACGCGCATTGCTGAGATGATGAGGGTGAAAGGACTGCTGGCGGCGAGGCCAGTGGGGGCGCCAAGCGACGAGGGCTACAATGGCACGCTCGCGGACGAGCCCACGTCCTGCGAGAAGAGCGACGAGGGCGAGAAGAAGCCCGAGCAGAAGTTGCCCTGGTGGGGGCCAGAGGGCGAGGATATCGACTACGAGCAGATCAACAACAACAACAACAACAACAACAACAACAACAATTACTAGCACGTGGGGACACTCCGTTCTCACCAGTGCCAGGGTTTTCATAGGAGGCGGGCAATACCCCCACTTTGTGGGGGGGCCGGTTCAAGCTCTACCAAATTTCCAAACG